GGGCTCAAGAGGTCACCTTCCCAGCATGGCCCTCGCCATCCCGCGATAGGAATGTGGAGGGTGCATCATTCTTTTGCTAAGGGAACCCTTGAGGAGGAAGGGGCAAACCTGCCCCCTTCGCGCTCCGCTTCCCCTCCAACACCAGCCGCAAGAGCCTGGCAGATCTCCTGCAGCTCTGAGCCCAGGTTGGTGGCAAGTCAGTGCCATCATGGGACGATGAAGAGCATCTTTCCCACCTCAGACGACTCGAGTTCCCAACCTGCACCTACCACTGGCTTGCTGTGTGCACTCGACCTGGAAAACCCTCAGTGTTCCTCTGTTCTTCATCCAGAAATTGGAGGCCATAAGAGCTCCGACCCTCAGAGGCACTCGGTGACAATGGAATGGAAAAACACAAGTTGAATGTGGAGACAGGCACCTGACATGCGTGTCCCCAGCATGTGTTATAAACCCCTGCCTGGTCTTCTCCTGGAGGGCTGACCCCCCTCCTGACCAGAGTCCTCAGAAGATCCCGGGGACTATGAGGACTGGGGCCCATGAGAAAGGTACTTGGGGTTAGTTATTGAATGCTGCACACAAAAATCACCCCACATCTTTGAGGTTTAACAAACAGAACTTATGTTGTCTGACAGTTTCCAAAATGGGTCTGAAATCCACGAGGGGCCTGTCCCTGGCTCAGGGTCTCTGGCGAGATTACAACTGAGATGCCAACATGGGCTGCAGGGATTTGACCAGGGACAGATTCACCTCCAGCCTTACCCAGGAGGCTGCTGGAAGGCCCCAGCTCCACAAGGGCCTCTGAGAGGACACTCACCAACAGGGCAGTTGGCTTCCATCAGCGAGAGCAAGAGAGACAGCAGGAGACAGCAGTGGAAAGGCTGTCAGCCTTGGTAAGCTAATCCTGGAACTGACAACTCATTGTCCTTTGTTTCATTCTTCTTTGTTGAAAGTGAATCCCAATTTGCACACCCGTGTTCACAGCAGCACTGTTCCCAGGAGCCAAAGGATGGAAGCAATCCAAGTAAGTGTTCATTCGTCAAGGAGCGGAGAAACAAAATGCGGTATGTCCACACAGTGGAGTAGTACTCAGCCTTAAAAAGGAAGGGAATGGTGACGTGTGCAATATGGATGAGCCTTGAGGACACTATGCTAAGTAAGCTGAGCTGGTTGCAAAGTGACAAACACCATCTGATTCCACTAATATGAGATACTTAGCTAGAATTACCAAATTCACCATGACAGGAAGCAGAACGGTGGCTGCCAGGGCGGGGGAGAAGGGTCACGGGGAGTTGTTATTTAATGGGTTCAGGGTGTCAGAGATGCAAAATGTCAGAAAGTTCTGGAGATGAGTTGCACAGCCATATGAATGCACTTAACACCACTGGACTGTGTTATGGGAATCAGTTCTATGTAATGGGTATTCTCTCTCTCTCTCTCTCTCTCTCTCTCACACACACACACACACACACACACGCACGCACGCACGCATGCACACACACAATGCAGGTCCAGATCACATTCACAGGGATGGGGTTATACCAGGGCATGAATATCAAGAGGTGGGGATCACTGGAAGCTGCTGCCACATTCAGGGACATTTTTAAGGCCACCTGAGTGGCAATTATACCCAACATGTGCATGACACCCCCTGCTGAATCTCAGGTGTGCACCTCCCAGGGAGAGTTCTGAAGCAACAGAAAAGCCAGAGTGAACCTGCTGCACAGGCACCGATTTCAAAATGTCTTGCAAACAGGGATCTTTCCAATCAAGGAAGTCCCCATGAAAAGCCAGTCTCCCCTCCCCCCCCCGTGTTCTTTGCTGTCCAGTCCGTCCCACAGGAAAGCTAAGACCACAGACCTGTACCTTCTCAGGCCCATCCCAGTTCCAAGTCCTTAGGGAGCATGTCGGTGGCTGTCAAGGCCAAAGATAAAGAGGGCAACAGAAGAGGGGCTCACTGGTGTCTGCAGGGTGGAATGTCTCCTTTTTCACCCGAGTTAGAGAAAAGGCATTTCAAGCATCCCATTTCCTTGTCTTGAGACCAGTTTTCTCCACCTCCTCAAAATAAATATTATAAAATGTAATTTTCTTTTCCCACATCAACTGAAAGCAAAGATGCATTTTTCAAGCGCTTAGAAGCCCACAGGAAGCAATTAGGACATATTTGGATTAAATGAGCTCCTGTGCAGCGTTCTGAGTGGGGAGTACCTGGTGTAGCATAAGGTCTGACAGTTCCACGTGGCACAAGACTGTATTCTGTCCAAACCAGACGCCTCTGAGACTCTTCAGGAAAACACGGCATGGATTTGGCCTCTCAAAAGCCCAGCATGGGTCAGATTTTCCCACAGTGCCCACGCTCCTTTGTTCAAGTAGCAAGAATAGCAGGCAGTTTTGCATTCAGAGGCTACCACGTCCGCACAAAGCACACCCTTAAATACTAGAGGCACACTCGGTGCCTGGAGGTGTATACTCCATGTGAGGGACGCAGAACTGCAGGCTGGCCTGGGGGCTGCAGACCCAAGACTGGTGTCCTGTGCTCACTGAGGAGCAGACTCCCACTGAAGGAACGGAAGAAGCTTCTACTCAATTGAAACAATGATCACAACATTATTATTTTAATAAGTTATGAATACTTCAACTCACGTAACTTAGCAATGTCTGAGCTGTGGATTCCACAGCGTGCACATTAACAGGGTGAGGGTAAGAGAAGTGTCTTTTCTATTCTTCGGCATTTTACTGAACCCCTGGTGTGCAGGACACTATGCTACTAGATAGAGTTCAAGGTCACAGCCAGTGTTCCTGAGTAGCCAATGGTGATGCCTTCCACAGGGGCCACCTGGAGTGGAGGTTGGTATACTGGCCGCACCTAAGGACATTACCAAATGTCTAACTAAGGAGGGCACCAATGGGCTGGGGAGGGCACCAATAGGCTGGGGATGTGGCTCAAGCGGTAGCCCGCTCGCCTGGCATACGTGCGGCCCGGGGCTTGATCCTCAGCACCACATACCAACAAAGATGTTGTGTCCGCCGAAAACTAAAAAATAAATATTAAAAAATTCTCTCTCTCTCCTCTCGCTCTCTCTTAAGAAAAAAAAAAAAAAAGGAGGGCACCACCCAGAGCTTGTTGTCTAAGGGGATGTCATTTGGGTACAGAGGCACAAAGCTGAGACCCTAAGGAAGGAAGGGTGCTCGATGTTAAATATTGTCAAGGGCTGGGCTTCCTAGGTACAAGTCCTAGGTACCATCAACTTTTTCTATGAACCTCATGTTTGTGAGAAGAAAAAAGAAGCAGAATTTAGAAAAGGTAATTACCACTGACCTGTGCAGAGATCAGTCATTCCTCCCGAAGGGAAGAGCAAAAGTCAGCCTCAGCAAAACACCTGGGTCGGGAGGATGTTGCCACACCATGAGCATCCCTCACCTCCAGGCCCCTCACCTCCGGGCCCCTCACCTCCAAGTCCCTCACCCTCAAATCCCTCACCTCCAGGCCCCTCACCTCGGGGCCCCTCACCTCCAGGTCCCTCACCCTCAAATCCCTCACCTCCGGGCCCCTCACCTCCAGGAGAAGAGTCTAAGATACACGAACACACAGGATGCTGGGGGGAAATAATATTGATAGAAAAATGTCCTCCGTCCCTCCCATCCATGCTAACAGGTGCTTGACTTGGTGATGTTGGTTCCCACTTGAGATCCATCCCTGGCTCTACTTTGGCATCTGTTTTGATTTTATTTTATAAAAATGTGACTTTGTCTCAAGACTAGCAATACCCAGAAGTTCAAAACTCCCTAGACAAATGGCAACATTAAAATCCTCTCTAAGGTTCCTGTGGAACACTGGCTCTCAGACTTAGTGTGCTTTAGAACAATCTGGAACATTTGTTAAATGAAACAGAGATGGCTGACCCACCCTCAAGGGTGGATTCAGATGGTAGGGAATGGGGCCCCAGCACGCGCATTTCCAAAGTCCCCCCTCCCCCGCCCCTCCGTGGGGTGGTTGGACTGAGGGTTGCACTTGGAGAAAACCACTGGGAAGGGAAGACCTGGGAAGGGCTTTTCCAGGCCAGGACAATCAGAGGCTTCCCACTCTACCAACACTCACCTCCTGAGCTGTTCCCTGCACAGATCTGGCCAAGTCTATGCAGATACTCTTTTACCTTGTCTCTTCTGGTCATTACAGAATGCTTACTGAACAAGAGTCAGTAAGTAAAGAAAGGTGCCGGTCAGTCTTAGTGGAGGCCGTGGCCTCACCCGGCCGTGTGCCTCCCAGGTTCCCAACACAGCTCGGTTTCCACCCCCAGCTGCATGCATCCTTCCGTTGCCATGACACAGCTCTGAAATCAAAAGCCTCGGACGTGCACGGGCAATTTACACAAGAGGAAACAAAGTAGTAAACAAACACAAGGGAGTGGGACGGTAGCTCAGCTCGTCATCACAGAAACGCGAATCAGAAGATTCGGGAGGCTCTCCTTCCAGGACTAGTAAAATGAAAAAGAAAAAAAAAAAAAGCAACAGCAAATGTCTGTGATACAACAGGGAAACTGACAGGTGCGAATGATGCCAGCGTCAACTGAAGAAAAATAAGATCCAACAGCTGTGTGGAGAGAGGTGGCCACGACCTGCACAGGGAGCCCACCCTGTAGAATCCATCCTACAGAAACAATCCCATGGAAAGAAAGGGATCGCATGGCCCAACAATGCAGTGACTTAGAAACCACAGCACAGTGGCACGAGGGTGTGTCCTGCTGGGGCCAGTGCAATTCTGAGGAGGAGAGGTGTGAGGGACAGTGAACGGTGAAGAAGACCAAATGCAGAACAGTGGGCATGGCGCGGTCAAGACCCTGGGACCCGCGCACCTACCCGCCCCAGGGCTGGGGGCCACGCGTAGGAGCTACCCACGCTGTGTTTGGAGGCGGGCGTGGGGTCCCTCCTCCCGTGCCACGCTGCCTCAGTGACGGCCACGCTGCGCGGCGGGGGCCACTGCCCAGGGCTCCAGCGACTCCTACCTTGGGAACTCTCGCAGCTCTCCTCGTCACTGTTGTCCTGACAGTTGTTCTGCCCGTCGCAGAGGAAGCTCTTGTCGATGCAGAGGCCGTTCCTGCAGTGGTAGCGCGCCGTGGAGCAGAGCAGGGGGTTGGCCGCTGCGAAGGGAAAAGAGGGCTGGTCACCAGGGAGGCCAGCGAGGCCCACCCCCCGCGACCCCAGAACCTCCCCAGCCAGCCGCGAGCTCGTCCTGCCAGTGGAAAGCCAGGCCAGGACAAGACTCACTCTGCCACCTTGCAAGCGTCCCTTCCCCCGGGTCACCGTGCTGCTGCCTGTGACCACACCAAAGTGGCCTGAATGGTCAACCCCTAGGCTGGCCTGCAGCCTGTCGAGTCTGGGGCAAAACCTGGATCCCTGGACTGCTCCCCGGGGACTTGAGAGTGGACAAGTCAGTGACAGGAGACTCTGGGAGAAAAGCTGAAAGAAGTAACTGAGTCAGGTCAGAGGTCAGAGGTCAGAGATCACATGGTCACGCCCAAGTGCTAGCAGGATCCTTCTGGCTCCCTCACTGTGGACCAGCCCGTTAACTCCTCGTTTATTCTTTATGATTTACGAATGTAAACTCCTGGTCTTGAGACTTTGCCATCAAAAGAAAAAAAAAAAAAAATCCACAGACCCAGGGGGTCAGTGACCATTTCCAAAAAGCTCCTCCAAAAGGCTCCCTGTTCTAGAAACTTTCACAGAAAGAAAAGAAAATGACAGCGCTGAGCCCTGCTTTCAAGCTAAAGGGTGGCAAATGGTCAGTGTGAGGTCGACACATAATTACTTAATAACGCACAAGCAAATGTGCACAGGCAGACAGTGTCCCTGCAGCACAGGACACCTCGCGTCCCCATGCCTCATGAGGCTCACTCCAGGGCTCTTTTCAATCAGTGAAGGAGTCACGTGGAAATGACCTTATTCACTGCAATCCTGGGTACATCCCTTCGCCTCTCCGAGCCTTGGTTGCTTTATCGGTGGACAGGACTGGCTACATCATGGGACAGATGCAGAGCAAATTGAAAATATGGGGTCTGCTGTTCAAAAACCTTTAAAACCATTCATGACAGCAAGCACTGAGTATAAGAGCAGGCGTGGCACCCTCCTGGCCTGAACACGGGCCCTGTGTGACTGCACCAGTCATAGGGCCACCCCCTGTGGCTCTCACACTGCTGCAGCGTTAATTTCAACATCACATGATTTCTCTGAGAAAACAGAGGGCCAAGAGGGTGCAGGCAGTACCCCCTAGTTATGTATGTCCTGGACACACAGGATATGGCCTCCCACAGGGGGGGGACAGTGGTAATGACCAAGAGGGTTCAGTCTGGACCTCAGGTGGTGAACTGAACCTGGAGACCAGCACAGAGCGGATGCCAGGCCCAGCTCCGGAACTGCTATGGGCTCAGGCTGCCTCTGGAAACAGCGTGCAAGGTCCTCAAGTGTGAGGTGGCAGCTGCAATCTCTCTGCTGTGAGCTCCACTGAGCTGCTGTTGGGTCACACACAGATGACAGCTACCAGGACCTGGTGGAGTTCACGGGGCTGGGTCAGCTAAAGGCCTGCAGGCTCTGTTTATTTTTTTTTAACGTTCAACCTAGGAAGTTTGATTTGGAAGGTCAGAGGAAGCAGAGGATGGGGGAAGCCAGAGCTCTGGGTCTGGAGGATGCTCAGCCAGTGTAAAGCCAAACAATCGTAGTTCCACTTGAAAATGGAAGACTGGATTATGAAATTGCTGTGGGCCAGAGAATGGCTGAAACCAATGTCTGACTTGAGCCAAAACCCAAATGGGGAAACGCAGAACCACAGATCATGTTGGGTTTTGGTCCAAAGCCTTCTGCCCATCAGCACCACCATGGTGACCTTCAGCTGGGACCTTGTAGGTCACATCTATGTGGAACAAGCAGCTCATTCAAGAACAACCCTGGGAAGGCACCCAATCACTCCAAGGTAAGCCATCAAGACTGCGTTAACACCCTAGTGGCAAGCCCAGACTCGTTATCAACTAACTCACTTTCCCTTCAGCCTTAGACCCTTTCAACTGCATGAGCTTCCCCCCAGGAAAAAAGTCACGTGTGTGTGTCTATATATGGGTACATACATACTGCCTATGTGTATGTATTTATATATGTACATTGGAAAACCAAGTCACAGACTGGTTTGAGTGCATGTAACTACAAGGACTAGTAGCCAGAACATGTGAAGAACTCTCTTAATCAAAAAGTAAAGGACCACTCAACAGGAAAATGGGCAAAGGATTCAGTAAGAAGAATGGCAAATGGTCAATTAAAAACTCGGGAAAATGTCACCAGTAATGAAGTGCACTTCACACGCATGACACAGAACACATTTAAGGGCTTAGACTAAAGGTTGTTGGCAAAGAGGAAGTCTCATGGATTCCGAGCGGGTGTACAAACTGGTAGGACCACCTTGCAGAGCGAATTGGTAAATTTTAAGGTGCGTATACCCTACGACCTGGTAATTTCACTTCTAGCTCTTACACACTCTACAGACAGTAGAACAAAGATGTTTGCTGAAGCCATTATTTGTAAAACAAAAAAATGGGAAATGACCCAAATGTTCATCAATAAGAGAACAGAGGCAATGTGGTGCGCTATACAAGGGGATAGTGAAAGCCTGAGGTGGCTCTTTTTCTGTAAAGGGAAAGAGGGTAAATAATTTTAGGTTTTGCTAGCCACTGATGTGTCTCTGTTCTAATGATTCCACTTGGTCACTGGAGGGTAAAGCAGCCACAGATAATTTGTAAACAAGGGGCCACGTTCCAATAAAACTTTATTGACAAACACAGACAATCGGCCAAATTTGGTCCACGGTCCATAGTGTGTCAACCACTGTTGTTCCACAGTGAAAAATGACATGAATTGGTCACGGTGGATAAATCTCACAAACATACCAGTCAGTGGGGAAAGCAATGAGTATAATATGTATAGTGCTGTATCATTTATATGAAGTTATCTGTGCAAAAAATGTCATTTGTTATTAAAAGACACAAAGACAGACAGTGAATCAATACAAACTCATATGACCAAAACCACCATCATGTTCAGGGCAGTGGATGCCTCTGGAGAGAAGGGACTAGGATGGATCTGAGAGGGACCTGCTGCAGACTTCTAATTATATTTGATAACATTTTTTTTTTTAATCTGAAGCAAAGAAGGCAACCCACAGCATGTTGCTTGGAACCGGGTGTTGGGAACACAGGTGCTCATTTTATTTTACTTTCAAAAGCTTTGCTACAGTTCTTTGCTACAGTCTCATCTTTTCTGTGACACTGGCTTTCCGTTCCCTTGGTCTCCTTTCCTCTTGTCCACCAACAGCTGCCTCAGCATCTCTGACAAAAGAGGGGGTGCACGCTTGTAAAGAGCCACACCTGAGCTCCTCCCTGGGTCTCTCCTCTGTGACTCCACAGGCCACAGAAAGACCTAAGACGTGAGCCAGAGGAACGGAGCGGGAGAGAAGGCAGAGAAGTACACCCCCACCCCAGCAGCAAGCCAGCAAGGAGGGCTCCCGTCAAAACCTGCACAGCCAGGTTCACGCCTTCCAACTGCCAGGAGTTCACAGAGAGCGCTCCAGCCTCCACCTCCCGCAGCACCTATTGATTCTCCATTGACCCGGGTCCCACCAAGCTTCATTCCCAGTTCCCAAGGACAAAGCCAATGAAAAGGGAGAGGGGAGGCTCCTGCCCACCCTGCAGACAAACGGACAGCAAGAAAAACATAAAGCTGACAACCTGGGAGGGGACATAAAACCTTAAAAAGACAACCCAAGAATTCCAAAAGCCTAGCACGGCTTCCAAAGAGACTGGAAAGTTCTACAAAGGAGCCAAAGGCAATCCCCTCGCTCCCCTCCCCTCCCCCAGCCCCTGCGTCAGAGCCTGGTCTAAACCATGACGACTGTTCCTAAGGGTGACCCTGAGCTGCTACCAAACAAGGCAGACATGGACAAGAGATTCTGGTCAATGACAGGATTCAAAGGCACAAGGCTTCGAGTCACCTAACCAGGGTGGCCGATGTCCCCTACAGACCCCAGACACTTCAAGTGTCCTCCCATGTCCTCTGCAGCTGTTGACAGGCTCAGTCAGACTGTGGCACCAGTTCACATGGACCAATGCTGGAGGCTTTGGTGACCCAGGCTCTAGGCTCAGAGGTTTCTGTAGCCCATAGGGACTGTCTCAGAACCTGCAAATAGTCACCGCTCAACAAACAGAAAGGAGACCCTGCGTACTATCGGGTGTTATGGCCCAGGGTCTCTAGTAATATTTACTGTGCTCCAAAGGTTTATGTTTTCTTTGTCCTTGCAAAGAATGGCTTACTACGCACTCCTTGAAACAAAAAATGTATTATTTGACTCAGTTAACTAGGGAGAGGAACACTGTCACAGTATTTATTTCACTGGAGGTGGAGAAAATCGTCTGTGGAGTCAACTTACTCAATTGTAGGCTCCAAAGCTCCTTGGGTATTATTAGCACAAGAAAAACAGGGCTCTAATGGTCTAATTTTCCAACCCACAATATGCAGGAAAGAGAACGCGTCTCTCTCTGCCATGACGGAGGGAGGGAGGCGTGAGTTAAGGGAACCGCTTAGCGGTGAATTAAACTGGCGCATCTACTTGGACCACATCTAAAGGAGCGGGCCAAGGGACCACTGTGGTCACCCAAAAGCAGCTGAGCGGCTTCAAGACAGGAAATGAGGCAATCTGTCTCCGGCAGGACTTAAGAAGTCCCCTTTTACCACACGAATAGAAAACTCCTTGTCACCATCCCCCCAAATTCCCACCTGTCCCCCTGTCCTGTGGTTGACCACCACTCAATGGGTAATCCTGGCCTCCCTGGGAAGCTCATCTCCCCAGCCCCCACTGCCCTGCAAACCACACAACCGGGGACGATGGTGCTACACCAAGCTTCGTCTTCTCCAGGATGGAGATGTAGCACCTGGAGGGTGCCGAGGGTCAAGGCACCCAGAATAGGTGCTCGCTACATGCCGATTATCATTATTAATGTGCATTAGGGTAGTGGTTAAGAGTTCAGACCCTGCGTTGACATCACAATTTATCACTTACTAATTATGTGACCATGACAGGTTGTTTCACCTTTCCATGTCTCCATATATCTGAAAGGGGGATGATACCACCATCTACCCACAACGAATCCCATCTGCATGAAGCATATGGAAAGACATACACAGGAGGTGCTCAATAAGTGCCGCAGGTGGTTCATGCAGCCTGGGCAGCGTGCACATCTCCCAAACTCACCTGGGCCCTTGCCCAGAACACCCCATGGGACTGTATTTTAAATGGTACCCACCCTCCTAAGCTCATTTCCTTCAACCACCCCCACTAAGGAGCCCGGAGGAAAAGAACGTGTCCCATGCCTGATTCCCACGGCGCTCCCCACTGTCAACTCCATGTTATCACGGGAGGAGATGAGTATTTTTGGATCTCTTACTTGAGTATAAGCTCAAGGATGTCAGGGTCTGTGTCTGACCCATCTCTGTCATCCCTGCAGCATCTTGCGTGGTGTCTGGCACAGAGATTGTGGAAAGAAGATGAGAATCTGAAAGAAGGCAGGAGCTGGGGTTAGTGAGCAATGTAAGGCCAAACCCACTCTGGGCGCACCCTGGCACACAGGGGAGGGTTCAGATGTCCCTAGTTTAAGAACATACCCTGACTGCGGTGGGGAAGGGAGGCTGCCCCAGTCGGCCCGTCTTCCTCAGCCCTTCATTTGACTAGTTACTAGATGCGTTCATTCAACAGTCACGTATCGACTATTTCCTTAAAACAAAGCACTCTACTAAGCTTTGGAGATAAAGCACATCTCAATCTCTGTTCTTAAAAAGCTTCCATTCCGGACGGAGAGTCCAGTCAACAGGACATGGAGATGCAGCAGGAGAAGTCCTATTTATTGTACGTAATCTATCACCTGCTAAGGCTGAGGCTGCAGCATGCTCGGCTGGGAACAAAGTACCATCTCACGGCTGCCAATCCAGCAGGGAAGGCAAGAAGACCAACAGTGCTGAGAGCAGAGAACAGACAAGCACAGGATGCAGAGTGCAGAAGTCATTTCCCACAAGGGGGTCAAGGCAGGCCGCCCTCTCCAGGTGCCCTTTGCTTGAGGAAGGCTCGGGTTGTGCGGGGGAACCCACAGGATGCTCCAAGCCAGCCCTGGCAAACCAGGGAGGCTTCCCCAGGAAGCAGGTCACCAAAGGAGACTCAATGACACGGCTGGGGAGCACTGGCAGGAAGCGTTTTCCCCATGGAGATTCCCAGACCACCCAGTCCAGCCAAGGGGCAAAGAGGAAATGCACAAGGACAGACCTAGGCCAGCACCCACCGTGGGGCTCTGTGAACAGCAAGACAGACAGACCGGGAAGACCCTTCTGCTGGGCTCAGGGGCCAGGCAGATTCATCCCCGGGAAGAGAGCAGTGCAGGACAGGGTGGTTATGTCGCAGGACATAACTCTGCCAAAGCAGGAACAGGGGATGCTCGGCCTGAATGAATTTGCTACGGTGGGCACCAGACAGGGCTGTCCCGGTTCACAGCTGGAGTCCCCACCTCCCTCAATGAGCATCCTGAGAGCCGCACGGGCAGTGGACCCGGGGCCTCCCTCCAGTTGGGAAGGTCCAAACAAAATGGAGAAGGGAAAGCAGATACAGCCAAGGGAGGGAAAGGAGAGGAGAACCTCAGAACCTTCAGGCTCCAAAAGGGAACCCTGGTCCTGCTGATCCTTACTCCTGAGAGTGAAAGAAAATGCAAACGCTGGGAAAACCCAAGGCTGCTAAATCAGACTCTAATGGGACTCTGGAAGCCACCTGTTCAAGCCAAGAAATCACCCAGCAGAACCACTCCTTTATCTTTCCTCTATTTCTTGGGTCATCTTATCAGGGGATTTTTTTTTCCAAACACATGCAAAAATAGAGGCTGATGTGATGAACCCCATGCACCAATCACTTGGCTACCACAGTTACCAACTCCCGGGCAGTTCTGTTTGCCCCACCCTTGATCACCCTCCCTGCCCTGGTGGGACTGGCTCCAAGCACACCCAGACCTCACGTAATCAGATCTTTATAGACTTCAATACATATTCCTATAAGATATGGATTTGTAAAAAATAGTCACGATACCATTCTCAAACTTAAAAAAAACCTTAACAACAACGCTTTCATATCATCAAATATCCAACTGCCATTCAAATATCACCGATTATCTCAATTTCGTTTCTTAGGTCATCTTATTAGGGGATTTTTTTTTTTCCCCAAACAAATGCAAAAATAGAGGTTGGGAATGTCTTAGTTACTTGGAGTTAGGATTCAAACAAGATCCGCACACTGCACGGGGTTAATGTATCTCCTGGCCTCTTTGAATCCATGGTCCCCTCTTCCTCTATTGTTTCTTCTTAGAATTTATTTATGGATGAAACTGGGCCCTGAAGAATCCCCCACACGGTGCATCTGGCAGTGTGCCTCCCCATGGGGTCATTACCGTGTTCCTCTCTCCCTGAGTTTCCTATGAACTAATGGTGAGATTTAGAGGCTCAGTCAGACTCAGCTGGGACGCTGTTGGCAGAAGCACCTCTCGGTGGTGATGGGGGCTCCAGCTGCCTTCCATCAGAAGCCAAATAACGTCTAGTTGTGTCTCTTTTTGTGCAGCGAGAACTGGCTTTTGGGAGATTCCTAGGACAGGGCAGAGACAGGAATCCCACCTCCCTCTGGCTCTCCTACTGAAGGCAGCCGTAGAAGCCAGGCTGGGAGGCAGGCAGCCGCTCTCTACAGACTCTGTTAAGTGATTTGGAGCAGCCCAAGTGGGGAAGACCGAAATTTGAACTATCAGCAAAATGGCGGTGAATTTACCATCCTTCCCACTGTCCTTAGAGTCTCAGAAACTGGAAAAGGCCAGACAGAACAAGGAGAGGATCTTGAAAGTCATGCCATAGAGATGTTTCTGAACTCCTAGGCTGTTCCCCAAGCTGCACCAGAGTGGATCTGGTCCTAATGAGTGCACCAAAGTCATTGAGAATTAATTCACAGAGAGACATACTGGGGGTGCTCATGCAGGAAAGATCCAAACAGTGCCGCAAAAAACCAGTCTGAAAACTATTAAAACCACAGCCCACAGAGGTAGAGACATGCAGTTTGACCCAACCAGTCATTTGCCTACTAAAACAAAAATCTAAGGATCCAGAGTGTCGGACACTCAAAATACCCAGAATATAATCTGAAATCACTTGCCCCATGGAGAACCAGGATAAGAACGCTCAGATGTCAGACTTCCATGGCGAAGGATTTAAAGCAGCTATTTTAGGAATGCTCTAACAAGCAATCCCAAACCCCCTTGAAACAAACAGATAAACACGGTCTCAGCAAAGCAATGGAAGACCGAAGAACCCAGAGGAAATTTCAAAAGGGAAAAACACAGCAACTGAACTTAAAGCCAAATCCAACACTGGATAAGCTGCAAAGAAGGGGACCAAAGAAAGAATCAAAATAATCCAACCTGAACAAGAAGAAAATGACTCGGGGACTCGTGGGACAGTGACAGAAGACCCGACATTGTTGTCATCAGAATCCCATCAGGAAAGAAAAAAGAGGACAGTACTTAGAAAATATTGAAGAGTTGAAAATGTACAAAGTACAGCAAACGACAAAACCCCAGGAAACTCTGAGCAGAATACACCTGTGACACAGACAGTCAACACCATCATCTAAATGCTGAAAAGTAGAGACAAAAAGAGAAAAGAAGAAAAAATACATACTTCAAGGCATAACCTTTGGGGAAACAATCCAAATGACTATAAATGTATCTTTGGAAATCAGAGAAGCCAAAAAGAAGAGGCACATTTGAAGTACTTAGAGAAAAGGAGGATTAACCCCGAATTTCCAACACCATAAAAATATCCTTCGGGAATGAAGCTGAAATAAAGACGTTATCAGAATGAAAAATTGAGGGAATCTGTTGCCAGAAGACGTGCTTTAAAAGAACGGCTAACGGAAGTTCTTCAGACAGAGAGGGAAGGATCCCAGAAGAGGACGTGGAACATCAGGAGGGAGGGAAAGAACTGGAGCAGGAACGACAGTCTTTTCTCAAGAATCCCTGAAAGTACACTGGATACTTTAAAGCGAAAAATTAAAACCCCATCTTGTGGCTCTCTTGAATGAATGGAGATGGGCAATGTGACAGCCACAACCTAACGAGCCCACAGTCAAGTCTCCACGTTCCATTGAAGTGGTGCAACATCAGTTCACAGCTGTCTGAAAAGACGGACAGGTGCCTTCAGCCTGATCCATCACATAAAACTCCACATCAATTTTCCACCCAAGGGTTTCAGCAACCACTGATGACCACTAACTGGATCCAGGCTTCATTGGGGTTAGGAAACAGAAATACATACCCTCACTCTACCGCTCCTCTATTAGCTAGTATTCTTACAGAAAAAAAAAAAAATGTACTTAATAAGTCCGCTCTCTGGTTACTGGAAGGTGCAATTCATACAGGAAAGGAAAGATAAGTGTTTGACTCTTTCCTTTTATTTTCCAGTCTTCAAAAGAGTGAGTTAGAACCACGAATCTTATTTTATTTTTATTTTTTTTAAAGAGAGAGGGAAAGAGAGAGAGAGAGAGAGAGAGAGAGAGAGAGAGAGAGAGAGAGAGAGAGAATTTTTTTAATATATATTTTTCAGTTCTTGGACACAACATCTTTATTTGTATGTGGTGCTGAGGATCGAACCCAGGCCGCATGCATGCCAGGCGAGAGCGATACCGCTTGAGCCACATCCCCTGCCCCAGAACCACGAATTTTAAATGACAGGTGTAAGGGAGGGTAACGCTGGTTTAATCCCCACTGATGTGATCTGGAATGGGTATAAGGAATATAATGGACTCCCTTGGTCAACTGAAGGGCAATATCCAAACTTGGGAATCTTATAGTGCCCTGAATTATGGCAAGGAGCATGGGATGACACAGTCACTTTTGAATATACACATTAGGATGTGCAGCGCTTGCTTTGTATTGCCCCTGGATTAATCTCGTGTGTGTGTGTGTGTGTGTGTGTGTGTGTGTCACTTCCAGCTTAGATGATAAGATCCCGTGACAGTAGGAAGCTGAGGCCAAGCTGTCCTCATTTCCTAAAGGACTAAATAAAATATATAAGAAGTATGTCCTTGGAGATCCCAAGCCAAAGGCAAAAATCCTAATAATATGGTTTTGCCTTTAGCCACGCGCACTTTTGTTTTAGATCACTATTTTTTATATCAATGGCTTCGGGCCAGCCACAAGACGAAGCCCTTCTCGGATACTACGTTGTCTAATTCTCACAACCAACAACCACCCTGGGATGCAGGCACTCAGCACTTGGGCTGAGAGACCAGGAAACCACCCGCGAGCAGGTCCTACCCACACCCACCTCCAGCTCCTGTG